AATTTTACTTTTTAAGTACTTTTAAAGTAAATTTTGAAATTCCTTAATTTTTTTTAAGGTTTTTCTCCTCATATTTCTTTACAAATTTTAAATATATAGATTTTAAAAAAAAAAAATTCAAAAGATTCTGTTCACATAGAAATACACAATTTTCTATTAAACAAATGCATATAAGAATTTAAAATGTACAAATCTATTCATATTCAACAATGCAGTGCAGTGTTGTTTGGTGACATTCTAAAACGATTCCAAATGTTTTATAGAAACTTTTTTGGGCTATAAAAAATTCATATTTAGTAATCTTTTATGTTAGCTAGTTTTAATATATACTGATCATTTGAAATATGCAGAACCAGCCTTTCCCCTTTAATCAGACTGAATTTCAACACTGGAAGATCCTCCTTGTACATAAGACAAAGGGAATGCGGTTTCCGACTCACAAGTTTTTTTTAAGACTGCATTCAAATAATTGACATTTCAAATTATTGTTATTTTATTGTATAATATACACAGAGTTCGTAGCCACATTTTAATTTTAAAAAAAGCACCTATTTCAAGCACATTTTAAGAAAAAAATAAGGACCTGTCTAATTACATTATACACAACTGCATAACCTTAAAAGAAAAATTAGACTTTTAATTTAAAAGATGAGAAATTCAGTATTTATTAAGAGAGAATGAGCATTACTCAACCATGGAAAACAATTACATTCTCTTTTTTTTAAAAAAAATTTTTAAATAACAGTTCAATTTACAGAACTAGTTTACAATGAGAGAAAAAAAACTATGCAGAACTAAATTATATTACAAGTTTTAATGATGAAATTTCAGTTCAAAATAGAGAAAATAAATACAATTTATTTTTCCTCTCATATTAATATTTTAATAATTTAACTTAAATCAAAATTTTGAACATTTTCCAAATTTTCAATGTATAACAGTTTTGCAAGCAAAGTAATTTAAATAAAAATAAGTAAAAAAAGGAAATTTTCTGAAATCAGAAGACGGGAAATTGCTTCATGCAGTCATCCTTTAACACTAAAAGCTTAACTAACTGGCATACTTGAAAACTGCAGAATATCTGAAAATTCCGGATAGTCGAGAGTAACTGGTAAAAGAGGAAGGGGGGGTAGACTGTAGCCGTTCTTTAGATTTTTCAGTTAAATAATGCTTTCGACATTTCGATATGTGCATCGTATAAAAAATAGTCGAATGGAACAAAAATAATCTGCTTAGCAAGCACAGAAAAACTCTTTTATCTCTGAGAAATATCGCAAACGTTATTGCGCAATACATGCATGATATTATGCAATCGGAATCAACAGCTGCCCGTATTCGGAGAATAAATAACTACCGTAATTTCCGGAAGAAACACCGCGGCGTTTACGTGTTTAAAACTTAAATTTTCAGCGGGTGCGGCGTTTCTACCCATGCGGCGTTTAGGTGCACTAAAAATAAAATATTTCCTATGATGGTCATTGTACATAGTTTGGATGGCCTTGTCATTGTGCATAGACTGGTGCTGTTCCCACACAAAAGGCCACTCAGTTGCTTTTTGCGAACGTTATTTTGTTTACATTCTTTCCCTTGAACGGACCTACATGCCTTATTCACCCTAAACGAGATCTCAGAACAATAACATTCTTCCCTCTTTCAAATCAACATTCTCATCAGTTTGAATAGTCTATCTCCTCTGCCATTCGATGAATCTTCCAGGGCCCATCCTCTCCCCACCCCTGCCTTTTCTGCAATTTTTTTCAAAGGCGGACACGACTCCACCTGCCTCGCAATAACGAACTCTGACGTATTTCCCCTTCAGCGTGAATGGATTTTTCTTGGCATTCTGCCAAATACAGATCCCATCAGTTTGAGTACAAGTACTTGTTGGATAGTTTTTAATTAGGGAACGGAAAATTTTTGAAAATGTCTCTAAACGGCACAGAAGCTATACATTTCTTACCTTTAATTTATTTTTGAGTTATGGTTTCATTTCATGCATTTTTCTTAACTGGTATGTCATATATCAGGACTTAGGTTGAGTTTTTGCATTTATACGGCTCACGACTATGTCATGCGCAATTTAATCTATTGCGGCGTTTACGCTGATGCAGCATTTCTGTGTAATTTTAATTTTTTCCCCGCCATTTTTCTCGAGTGCGGCATTTACGCTGATGCGGCCTTTCTTCCGGAAATTACAGTAAATAAAAAGGAAAACGCCCCTTAACTTAGTCCAGTTTTCACTGTCCTGTGCCCATGTAGCGTATTTATCATTGAGCAGGACACATCGTGCGCCTCGCAATATACCTGCCATACTCATATTAATTAATAAGAAGATTTACCAATCTGGGATGTTCTTCATTCTAATTTTGAACAGACTGCATTAAATTTCCGGAATAGAATCATTCTTCGCTTGGATTGGTAGACCGAAAAACTTTTAGTCCTATTCAATCCAGGTTGGAAATTGACCATAAAAAAAAGTCCGCTGCTTGTTCTGCTGCGAACTGCAACAGTTTCAATATTCGAGATTTTGTGGAGAACCAACTTCCGTACTGTATAATGCATTGGAAATATATATATATATATATATATATATATCTATATTGACTATTCGATTACTTTTTATTTATGCATTATTTTTTATTTATACATTTTATTTATGCCATTTCGAATATTATTCCTTAGAAAACTAATCTGTGTTAAAAAACACATACCCATTTTTTAAGTTTATACTTCAGAAATTACTGCAAATATATTATTATAAATATTCATACATATGCTCAAAATATAAGCATACGGATCATAATAAATGCAAAGATGAACTGACCACATGGAATGAGGATGTAAATTATTAAAATCTCGATAGAAATTCAAACGTGTGTAGTATTGGGTGGGAGCAAAAGAATATGAAATGTATCGGAATTTTCTAGCTTTTGGAATTTTTTTACCAATAGAGCGACGTGCACCAGCCTGTACTCGTGCGCACCAAAAGTTATGTTAATGCAAAGAAAGGGGAGAAAAGCCATTTCTGGGAGTATGATTCACCATCTGACGTTCCATATAAGGAAGAAAAGTTATTTATTTAGTTTCGGCTTTGGTACGTAGAAAAAATGTGCGTTCGTTTAAAAAAAAAAAGCAACTATAAGGACTTTTATATTTTATTTCCAAATATAAGGACTTATAAGCACTTGTAAGGACCGCTAGGAACCCTGTATATAAGCAAAATAGTAATAAAGTATAAAAAATATTTATTATTTGTCCCTTTTTCACAGTTACGCCATCAGATGTATGGCGTCGCCAAATGTGGCGATGTGTGTTCTGTGCTGATTTTTGGTTCAATGTTGTTTGTATGGCAATTCTTTTGACGATGAAACTTTATTTAGCTGGAGGTTTGGTGGGCGCTTTGAAATGGCTTATGTTGCAACGAAAGACGTGGTGACAAAACTTTAGTCATGTATTTTAGATTGTGTGTAAGGTAAATTTAGTATTAAAAGGTATGATGTTGGAGTTGTTAACGAGTTTTTTGTTCATGGGTGTGTTTATGCAGATTTTATTCACGAATGTATGCTGGACTTTGTATGCTTCGTGTCTCAGAAGACAAAGTGGTGGAAATTAACGAGTTTTGCTGATGTTTGAAATTGATATTTCTGCTGTTTGAAAAGCATTCACAATGGTAAGAGCATTTTATTTTATTGTTGTTCGTATTTTGCACAATGTAATGTTCATCCTTTTTTTGTTATGAATTTCTGTTTATTGTTGTCTTTTGAATTGTTTGTAATTTATTTGTTACTTCAGTTTTGTTGATTTTGAGCAATGCCGAGACTGTGCGCGATGCCTAGATTGTGCAATTTGCTGAATCTTTTTTTAAAGTTAAAACAAAATGCTTTGTACACGGTACTGTTTGAAATTTATTGTTGTTATGTTAGTTTATTTTAGCAAGGTGTGCGTAATTCATAGATTCCTACACTGCATAGATTCTGCAACTCTCTGATTTTTTTCAAGTTAAAACAGATCACTGTGTACATGGATTCTTGTCAAAATATTTTTGGTTATAAACTTTACGTTTTTGCTATCTAAAATTTTTGTTTCGGATTTTTGGCATAAATTGTGTGTTAAAAACGTGGTTTTTGCATATGCAAAAACCGCGTTTTTGCAGACATTGTAGTCTTAAAATTAAAAATGTAGACAAAAAATTTAGATAGTAATATGGCGTCATGGAGTTTCTCACCAAAAATGTTTGCCGAGAAATCTGCAGCCAAACGAGGGCGTGTATAAGAGTAGTTCCTATAGTTGTACATTAATAAAGAATTTACATTATTAATGTACAGCTAATTAATGTATTAATAAAGTATCTACTTTATTAATACATTAATTAGCTATTAATAAAGTATCTACTTTATTAGTGTATATACATAATATACGACTATCAAATCATTTGAATGTTCAAATAGATGGAATATGTGGGTTATAAAACTTGGTAGCATTAATTCAATGCCTCTTTATGTGACTGCTCGGTTAATCTCTGGATTATGGTAACTTGGCAATTTTTTGGCGACCAACCCTGCTACAGCAACCTGCTAGTTTTTGTTTGGATGCGATTTTGTTTTCATGAAGTAAAGGCATGTTTTTTGTTTTACTCAACATTTATTTCCAACAATCTGCTAGCCGAATTACGCTTATGCTAGAACTTTTATGAAACAAAAGTGCTTAATCATATGACGAAGATTAGGTGCGAAATTGGGAGAAAGTGCAGAATCGCAAACTGCTTGCCGCGTTGCACATACATGGTATCCATTTAAACGTCGACCTATTTTCATTTAAAAAAACATCACAGAATTGCGCACACTCTTGACTTTATCCATGTACACTGCTAAAGTCCTAGCTGGTAACCTTTATCGCCTTACCAAAATGTTGCCAAACTACCTGTTACCATATTCCAAAGATTAGCTGACTGCTCTTTTAAAAAATTATTAAAAAATTTAATAAATACAAAAGTATCTAACCTGGTCATTTCATCACCTTGAACTTCAACAACTGGGCCACCTAAAAATATGAAGATTAAATTAATTTTTTTTTTATAATAGGTAACTCTTATATGCACTTTTCCTCTTATTAAAACATCTCTAAAAACAGTTTGGGTCTTACAATCAACAGCATCTCAGGATTGGAGAGTTCTTAATTTTCCAGCCTTTTGTGCCCAATACCCAACTGCTTATACATTTTGTTCACTTAAAAATTATTGCTTTATTATGGAATAGTGAAGATAAAGATGGTTTATAAAAAAGACTAAATGTAAAACACAGTGCAATATTAAGATGCAAATACTGAACGCTCATAAAAAAATCAAATTCCAGTTATTGATTTAGAAAGGAGTGATGAATAACATACCTACTAACATATACGTACTAGTGTTGTTGGTTACTCAATGGTTAATCTTTGGATTATGGTAACCTGGCGATTTTTTGGCAAAAATTTGGCGACCAACCCTGCTACAGCAACCTGCTAGTTTTTGTTTGGACGCCATTTTGTTTTCACGAAGTAAAGGCATTTTTTTTTTAACTCAACATTTTTTCCCCAACAATCTGCTAGCCAAATTACGCTTATGCTAGAACTTTTATGGAACAAAAGTGCTTAATCGAACGAACAATAAATAATATAATAATAATAATAATTATGAAGATTAGGTGCGAAACTGGGAGAAAGTGCAGAATCGCAAACTGCTAGCCGCGTTTTTAAGAATTGCAAATACACAGTATCCATGTACACGTTGACCTATTTTCACTTAAAAAAAATCCCAGAATTGCACAAAAATGGCATTGCGCACACTCTTGATGTTATCCATGTACACTGCTAAAGCCCTAGCTAGTAACCTTTATCGCCTTACCAAAATGTCGCCAAACTACCTGTTACCATATTCCAAAGATTAGACTAATCAATTTCTATAATGAAAATATATGTTAGATATATTTTAGCATGTTATTTAATTTTCTTAGAATATTTTTTTTTTTTTAACCTCTGCTGGAAATCACGATGTTAAAAAATACATGTAACTACCAATGATACTTTAAAATCAAAGAAATGTGATAGTCAACAAGAAATTTAATAGCAGGTTAACACAAAAAAATTGGAATTAGCAAACATGTCTAAAAATGTCAATTCTATGCTTTCTCAGGATTTAATTGCTAACAAGTTATTTATATAAAAATCATTTATCATTATTTTGTATTTCTAGATTTTAACAATTTAAAAATTGACTTTCACTTCTGGTACTCTTCTGTTATTGAGACCAGATACAGAAGTATAGGTATGTATGTATGGATGCACATATATGTGTATATGTGTACACACATATGTAGGTACCTTTCTTTTATTTATCACCCAGTGCAAATTCTGTGACATGAAAATTTTGCCACTTGGTTTCCTCCTGAATTCTAACTGTCCAGTGTAGCTGCACTGCTTGCCCTGTAGTACATTAAGAAGGAAGCAAAGATCATGATAAGAACAAAATGAAAATAATTGTAAACAAGTAAAATAATAAAACAGCTACATTACTAGCATTACAAGAAGTGTTACTTCTATTACTGCAATTGAAAAAAATTGCATCTTGAGTTCCTAATTTTATTACTAAATAAATAAATGCTGACAGCTTGGTTTTTCATACTCTACAGTGTTTTGTTATTATTTTCTGCAGAATAATTTCTATGAATAAAACAGAAAAACATTTAGAAATGCCTATAACTTATATGAAATAAAGGTCAGTCAGTATTCATTGAATCTGAAGCAAAATTAAAAAGTCAATATATTTAAAAATAAACAAAAAAAATTGGTGAAAGTGCAGAATCGTGCACTGCTTGGCGCGTTTTTAAGAATTGCACATATTCGGTATCCATGTACACATCGACCTATTTTCACTTCAAAGAACATCCCAGAATTGCACAAAAATGGCACTGTGTACTCCCTTGACTTTATCCATGTACACATCGACCTATTTTCACTTAAAAAGTCAAAGAAAATTGACAAAAATCCAATTCTTCTTACTCTTGTAAAAATGCGCCAAACAAATAAAAAGGCGATTCTGCACTTTAGCCAGAAATTTAAAAAAAAAAAATAAATTTTAAATGTACGAACGTCAGATGCAGTGCCGAATTTACGTATAAGCTGAACAAGTTATAGCTTCGAAACATTGTCGCATATCCCATTTAAAAAAAATTTACTCATATCTTTCATAAAGAATCCCATATATCAAACAGCTTAGGGTTTCATCAAATTTGAATCCAGTCCTGATCAAATGGCTGCAGAGATTAACAAGAAATGGGAAAGTCACATCTTCTAATGAATATATATTAACTAATAATAATTAGTCTCAATATTAGAAACTTTAATATATAGAAATGCACTGATCATAGAAAAATTTCTAAACTTGAAAATCAGTAAAGTGCACTGTCATTACGTCTTTGTACTTGATCTTCGGTTCTATATAATTAAAGTATATAATTTTAATTACATATTAATTTTAATTACGGATGATTCACGATCGCAAATTTTAAACAGATGTAAATATTGACACATACGTGTATGTGAGTGCCACCTATCAAACTATTTAGAAAAAAAATTGAAAAAATTAAGAAGAAAAGTTCACATTTGGTACACAAATAAGGAAACTTAGGTAAAATCCTAGTATACGGTGCAGCTTTGAAAATTATCGCCAACACCAAAAATGATCCAAAGAACGTCTATATATATATTATACACACATAGTATATATATAATTTAATTAATTTAAGAAAAGATTATCTCTATATTTCGCTTTAAAAATGCACAAAATATGACTTACACTGAATTTTTGTCATGATTGATTTCCTGAAAAATTTACTAAGGTACAGTAAGTAACTGAAATGCTCAGATTACAGAAAGGAAAGATTATGTCCAACTTTTTTAGCAAATTTTTTCCTGGAGGGTATATAATAGACCTCATCAACTCTGTTGCAAAAGAGGAAAGAGCGGCCTTCTTTCTGAAGCCAATCACAAGCATGTCTCAAATCACGCGATTACAGTTGCCAATATCTATTTCATTAAATACTATTCTTCATTTTAATAAAAAAATATGTTTTTTTGTATCATTTTATTACATTAATGCTCCAGTACTACACATTAGAAAGAAAATTATGAAGCGATTCAAATTATACTAAAAATTTGACAAAGTTCATGAAATAATTATTAGTTAGTTTTTACCAGAAAGCTATTTCCGGTTCCGTTGCGTCACTCAACATGGTGGAATACATGTATTTACGGAGTGTTGTGTAAATAAAGAAGTTTTCAAAAGTGTCAATAACAGAGTTTTGTGCTTTTAGATTCCCAGCAAGTTTATAATACTTCTGATTACATTAGTGCAACATGTCTACTTCAGATCTTGCTGTATCTACAGCCAGAAGGAAAGTTTTGTTCGCTGCAGTAAGTTCTGCATGTTATGAAGCTGGTTTTACTGCTGCCGAAAAATCAGCGCTAGAGACTCTAACAGAAATGCTTCAAAGTCGTAAGTGCAATTAAAATATTTTATGATGACAACTATGCTATTTTTTTTACATTAGTAACTTCCATATATTTTATGGCTGTTTCAGCTGTAAATTATTGAAAGGTTTACCTTAATTTCATACCATGTGTTCTGTCGTAAGTATATTTGTTTTAAAAGAAAACGTAACATAGGGAATTTCCATTATGTTATTTTGATAATATTTTAAATTGTTTATAAATAATTGTCTTAATTAAAAATAAACTGTTCATTATGTTGACTAATTCAAAAATTAGATTAATTTATCTCAGGTGCTTGCTAAGATAATCATAAGTGGTAAATGAGCTAATATATTTTAATTTTTTAAATAAGGACTACGTTGTAAAAGTAATCAACAGTTCTCTGTTACATCAACTTTTCTGCTGGCATTTTCCTTCTGCGATAAATGTTGCTAGTTGGATTTTGCTTTTTTCTTTGTGAGCTGAGAGTACTAAATTATCTAAGTTATTTTGATTTTTCAAAAATCACATAATTAATCAGTTCTTTATTATAGCATCCCCCCTCAGATTGAATTTCTAATCAACGGAAGCATTCTTATATTAAAATTGTGTTAATCTTTGGATTATGGTAACTTGGCGGAAATTTGGCGACCAGCTCTGCTACAGCAACCCTCTATTTTTTTTCGCCGCCATTTTGTCTTCACGAAGTAAAGACATGTTTTTCTTTCTATTTACTGAACACTTTTTCCAACAATCTGCAATCCGAATTACACTTATGCTAGAAATTTTATGGAACAAAACTGCTTAATCATGACAAATATTAACTGCAAAATTGGGAAAAAGTGCAGAATCGCAAACTCCTTGCCGCGTTTTTCAAAATCGCACATACACATAAACCATGTACACGTCGACTTATTTTTACTTAAAAAAAATCTCAGAATAGCACAAAAATGGCATTGCACACACTCTTAACTTTATCCATCTACACTGCTATTTTCGGTACTTACGTATTATCGCAACCAGGTTGGCGCTATTTGTAAGTTTGAGTAAAAAAGTATGAATAGAAAGAAAAATGTACATTTATTAATTACAGATAATTTTTAATACAGTTTTTTATATTATTTTGTTTTAAAATATAAAACAATTAAACCCTTCCGGTTTCGAATTTGATTAGGTTGCAGAATTATTTTTTCGGCGGAAATCTTTTGGCTATTGCTTTTAGCACTGATTGAAAACCGTATTCGCCATAACCATGTACACGTCGACTTATTTTTACTTTAAAAAAATCCCAAAATTGCACAAAAATGGCATTGCGCACACTCTTGACTTTATCCATGTACCCTGCTATTTTCTCATAAATTACAAAAATTTGCACGAAAATTTTGTGAATCTCCACATGCTCTTTTTACAAAACTACGTATAACATGTAGGGTTGCCGTAAGTAGGGTCGCCAAATTTTGCAATTTATGCAAATTTTGGCCTGGTTGTGTTAATACGTAAGTACCCTATTTTCTCATAAATTACAAAAATTTACACGAAAATGCAGGAAAATTTTGTGAATCTTTAAACTTGGTAAAAAGCACATATATGAAATTACCTAATCGCGAAAAAGTATATACCATACCCTTTTCCAAGGATGAACATTCCACGTATAAATAAATAAAATATCCAAAAACTTTACCTCTAAATTATTATTATATTATAAACGTCACCTACGAATTTATACCGCAAACATTAAAAATGGTTACAAATACTTAGTTGTCAAATATTTAAATTATTTCCATGCATGTTTACTTCAACCGAAACGTATACCTAATTGCTACAAACATAAAATTCACAAAATAACTATCATTTTAATTAAATATAACTAAACCATGTACACGTCGACTTATTTTTACTTAAAAAAAACATCTCAGAATTGCACAAAAATGGCATTGCGCACACACTTCGCTATATCCATGTACACTGCTTTTTTCTCATAAATTAGAAAAATTTCACGAAAATGCATGAAAATTTTGTGAATCTTTAAATCCGGTAAAAAGAACATATATGAAATTACCTGATCATGAAAAAGTACATACCCTTTCGAAGGATGAACATTTCCACGTATAAAATAAATAAAATATCCAAAAACTTTTACCTCTAACTTGGTATTGCACATTCCCTTTGTCCATGTACACATCGATATATTTTCACTTAAAAAGTAAAAGAAGCACCCAATTCTACGTAAAAGTATATTTATGGAACATTCAGCTACTCAGGTTACCATAAATGAAACAATAGCCTCACGATAATAAAATGCAAGGGGTACCCTTCAGTCTACTCTAACCGTAAAAGCTTCTGTTAAAGCCATACCACTTAGCATTATTTTTTGTTAGCAAATTTTTCTCTCGCAATTCAACTTCATGTTTTTTTTTTCGTGGTAATTCTCAATATTACAATGCAGCTTAATGGCTTTCCATGTCGACCTGTTTTAACTTGAAAGAAAAAAGAAAAGGAAAAAAAAAAAAAAAAAAAAATGAAAGAATTATGTGAATTTGGAAAAGCTATTGTCAGTAAAATGCGTTGGAGAATTGCACTTATTTGGAAAAAGCTTTTATCATAATCACCTAAGACCAGTTCAAACATTCATTATGAAACATTAAAAATTGCATAAAAAAAATTTATGATGAAACACTTAAAATTATGTAAAACAACAAAAGATTAACTAAATTAAAAATACAAGAAATATACATAATAAAATACCTACCTTTTTTCATATGTACGTATTTCAACCACCTTAGTAGAAATCGCCAAATTGTCAGAATGTACCAAACTCTAGCAAAGCAACCATACTTGTAAATAATTTTGCAAAAATTTGTTTTTAATTTTTTTTGTATCATATAATTCTTATTTAATAATTAAAATTTGTATTTTAAATTGCTAAAGTTTTTTTTTTTTATGTTTGCTAATTTATGATAAATATTGATAGTTCGGGAATGTTAAAAAGGAAAAGAAAAAGTCACAAAAATCACCAACTTGCATCCAATAAGTAAATTTCACCATCTGCATCTTTCCATCTGCAGAAAATTATCAAATTGCCCCTGGGTGGTTGTGTTAATATGTAAGCACCTCTTTTTTTCCATATTCTCTACTGCTATTCAAAATGCCATTTCTGAAAAAATGCAACACTTTCTTTTTCATTAGCTGACAAACTTTGCAGTGGTATTAGGATTCGTTACAAGGTAAAAGGCTCCATATACTAATCATAACAAGCAGAAACCACTAAGATTACTCCCAGATTTCAAAACTGCAACTCATGCTAGCATAATGTGCACACAACCGTAAGTGTGTTGCCAGATAAGTTCATTTTCATAAAATTGTGGAATGCCAGTTTTAGGAACTGAGCACTTTGCCTGTTGATCTTTGTCAGGGTTGGATGATTAATCAGAGAGTACTGAAAAGTTTATAGTTGATTTAGAAGGTAATAGTTTTTTAAATACTTTTCTGTTAAGGTGCCACTTCATGATACTGCATGCGTTACTGCTCAAATTCTTTTACCTCAACCAGTGCAACGCGTCAGCCACTCTTCATGCTTTTACAACGCTCAAAAAAATGCATAAGGGTAACAGTCCTGTGTCAGTTAATGAGCTAAAAGCAATGGTTGCGACGTTTGAGAAAACAGGTTCTCTGAAGGTTAAGTCAGGCAGAGGACGAAAACCTGTACCACAGGAGACAATCGAAGCAGTTGCCACAGCGATTGTCGACAGAGGACCAGACAATATTGCTGCCACCTCTAGCGCTCGTGGAGTAGCTCAGGAATTATGGATATGCCTTACAGTACAGGTATGGAAAATCTTACGAAAAGATTAATCAACTTCTATCCGTTCAAGATTAGCCATGTACAGGAGTTACTGTACCCCGACCATGATAAGCGATTGACTTTTGCTCTCACCTTTCTTGCCAGAATGGAGGTAGATGATGCTTGGCCGTGAAAATCTTATGGGGAGATGAAGCCCACTTTTACCTGAATGGAACTGTGAATACCCAGAACTACCGAATTTGGGATGACAAATCACCACATGCAGTCACAGCAATTCCCTTACATTCACCAAAGGTAACTGTTTGGTGTGGGTTCACAGCGGAATTTATTGTAGGTCCATTCTTCTATGAGAACATTACCTCGACAGGACCGGAAACCTGTTCTGTTACTGGAGAGAAATATCACCACATGTTGAACAGCTTTGTCATTCCGGCACTTCAGCAAAGACAATGCCTGGGAGAAATCATTTTCATGCAAGATGGAGCCCCTCTACACGTTGTTGTACGGGTGCAACAGATGCTACGACAGAAATTCACAACAGAAAGAGTCATTAGCCGCTACTTTTCAACTGCATGACCACCTCGAGTCGCCTGATCTTACCCCATGCGACTTCTGGCTATGGAGGTGACCTTAAGTCTATCAAGGTCTATCAAGAAGTGGTCCAGGACTTGCCTACGTTGAAGGATAAC